TGGTTTTGAAGGCCCACACACCCAGAGCCGGATTGCTGCTATCCAATGACTGGCCATTCTGTGGGCACCTCATCTCTCTGGTGTGTTTCTCAGTACAGGATTTTCATGTTCTTTTCATGGACAGAAGTTTAAGTCTCCCCAAAAGAAACTGGGAAACACTAGGCAATGAGGGCCATAAGTGGGTCTACCCAGGAGGCCTGATTTACGTGTAGGCTGATGACCTAAGGAACAGGGTGAAGCAAAATAGCGAATACGGAATACTTAACTCTGACAACCACCTCAAAGGGCACGTCCTTCGGTCATTCTACCGGAACTTTCCTTTGGAACCCAAGGATTGTTTCCTATTGGCTGGTCACCGCCAGCCAACAATGGCCTGAGCTCAGTGAGTATGGATGACCTCCTCTTTGTTCACAACGACTCATTCGAAAGCAGCAGCTGCTCTTCGGCTCTGAGTTCACAAAGGTCCCGGGTTCCACAGATCCGGGGTGCACTGACAAGTCATGCACTGCCTGCTCAATACTTGGAGGTGTGGCCCAACTTCCCCGCCATCTCTGTGTCTCTTTGCCCTGTAGGCAAGTGAAAGGTAGAGTCCAGAGTTCACCCAGATCAGGACCTCCCCCATTCTGCTCACTGCCAAATGGGCACACTGGGACACATGTTCATAGCAAAAGCTTTGTGTTCCTTCCCTAGGTGGAAAATGGCAAGTCAAAAATTTAAGTAGGGGTATGGTGATGCACCTATAACCCCAGAACTTGGGAGGACACAGGAAGACCCAGAGTTCGAGGCCAGCTTCAGCTGCATCAAAGTTTGCCTCGACTGCATAGCAACTTGAAGACCAGTCTGGACTGGAGATCGTGTCTTAAGCAGAAAAACTTCCTAAAGCATGAATTCTGTCTTTGAATTGTTGTTTTTTTTTTCTTTAGTATGCTCTAACCCCAGGAGGAGAAACCTCTTAACAACACTGTATTTTGGGACTGGCTCAGTGAGCTAACTACCTGACATACAAGCATGTCCTCAGTCCAGATCCTCAACACCTATATATACAAAACTGGACACAGAAGTCCATTCCTGTAACTCCAGGACAGGGTTTGGCTGGCTGAATGATCCTGAGGGTTGAAACACTGAGCTCCAAGTTCAGTGAGAGACCTTATTCCAAAACACAAGGCAGAAAGCAATAAAGAAAGCCATCTGATGTCAACTTCTGGCTTCCTCATGAATACACTCTGGGGACACACACACACCATCTAGAACAGTGTCCGTAGGCCTTTATTCCTTGTGTCCAATCTCTGATCAGGTGTCATTTTTAAGATGGACTATTAAGAAGCCCCAATTCTGCCCACTGGGTCTCACTTATCTGAAGGTGTTTTTACCTGCTGAGAGCCTCAGCTGATAAAGCAGGTATGAATTTGCCCTACAGAAATCATGCTTTTTTTTTTTTTTTTTGCTCATGAGATTGTGCCAGTGTTCAGCCAGTTGAACTCTTCCCAGTACTGCAGGTGCCAGGGCACCCCCAGGGCATTTTCACACAGGGTCATTAGAAGCTGCCCTGGAAAAGGTGTACAGGATCCTTTAATATTGGTCCTTTAAGAACAGACCTATTGATGTTATGTAGGCGCCATGCAAGATCGCTGGCGCTTTCAGCTTTGAAGTCCATGGAGCAAAGAATCACTGTGTGAGATCATAAATTATCTCCAGGTGGCCTTGGACTTTCTATACTGGGCGGTGGTGGCGCTTGCCTTGAATCCTAGCGCTCTGGAGGCAGAGACAGGTGGATCTCTGTGAGTTTGAGGCCAGCCTGGTGTACAGAGTAAGTTCCAGGAAAACAACAAAAACAAACAAACAAAAAAAAAAACTTGCCGTTAGCTAAATGACTGGTCTTTGGTGGGGAATGACTTGTGCTAAAACAGCAGAGTGAAAGAATTTCATTCTATTTGAAAGGAGGGTTTAGAAAAAGGGTATGACTTTTAAAAGATACATTTCATTGAAAGAGAGTTGAGATCTACATACATGTTCCTAAAATTACCCACTGGCTGTGATTGTGGCCAATCACATACCAAAATGCCCTGTACACTGAGTCTCCAGGAACAGCAGCTAATAGTCCACTTTTGGGTATCTGTGGTTAAAAAAAAAAAAAAATCCCAGGCAGTGGTAAATCTAAGAAACTCTATTTGGGCACGGGAATGCATTTATATGTAATTCTTTCTTGGTAGGAGACTTATCTTTCTAATTATGCTCCCTTTAGGCTATTATTAAAATCAGTCTGCATTTCCCAAGCATATGCCACTGACAGCCAGAGGACGGCAGTCCGCAGTGACAGGGTGAGTAAGGTCAACCTGGGATTAAGTGCTAGCAAATAGATTGTCAATCAGTCGCAGAGTATGTATATGGGGCTGTGTGCTCACAAATGTGAACACGCAAAAGTGCTCTGCTAGCAACAGCACACAAGAAGCAAGGATTAAGGATAGCAGTAAAGGGCAAAGTTCCCACAAGTGGGTTTTTCAGAGATCTGAGTACAAAATAATGTAATCCTTCGTGGGTCACAATGTATATACCCCCTTTGGGGTCATCTATTCTCAGCTTTTATCTGCAAGGATTGATATATGGAGATCTTATTTGTTCTATTGCTCTTGTGGATTTTTTCTTTAAAATTCCTATTAAGAAATACCAGCCGGGCAGTCGTGGCGCACGCCTTTAATCGCAGCACTCAGCAGGCAGAGGCAGACGAATCTCTGTGAGTTCGAGGCCAACCTGGTCTACAAGAGCTAGTTCCAGGACAGGCACCAAAGCTACAGAGAAACCCTGTCTCAAAACACATACACACATACGTATGTATGTATGTATATACATACATGCATATATGTATGTATATATACACGCATATATATATACATGCATACACACACCGCCCAAAAAACAGGGCTAGGTATGTAGTTCAGTTGCAGAACACTAGCTTAACATACACAAAGTTCTTGACTCCCTTCCCATCGCTAGAAGACAGGACTGAGAGAGGGTGCATGAGAAAGACACCAGTAATCAGAAATAGTGCCATGTATGCAGCTATACTCTCGGCTACTTGTGAGGCTGAGGCAGGAGGATCACGTGACCCCAGGAGCTGAGGGTCATCCTGATCAAAACAGCAAGGCCCAATTTTAAGAAGAGGAAATGTCAATAGTGCATTGCACTGTGTATTTTAATTCCGCACATGGACATTCCTGCTGGAAAAAAAATAGATTTCTGTAGGTTTTACTGATCAATGGTGAACTCTGAAATCTCTTCAAACACTGCTCCATAAACATTTAATTTTACACAAAAGCTGAGTTGGTGTATAACAATTCTTTAGCCATGAATAGGTTAGCTTCATGCCATAACCAGAATTTATTTATATATTTCCCCTAATACTTTCAGCCCTGTCTTGTGTGGTGGCTGTCAATGCTAAAGGCATGAGAAGCTTGAGAAAGCAGTACAAATAAAAAGAGTACTTTATACTAGAAAATCACAAGTCCATTCCAGACCAAAACAGCTCCTTTGGCTCATCACCAAGCATTCCCAATAGCTTTGCTCAGTGCTGTCTCAAAGGGTAATAATAGCAAGACTGAATCTTAACCCAAGTGGAACACACTTGAGTCCTAGCCCCAGAATCCCAGGCGGCTCATCTTCCTAGTCAATCTTGGCTTCTTGAAAACCAACTGAGATGATTCTGAGCCATGCACATTAAAAATCCCAGTATGGGGCTGGAGAGATGGCTCAGAGGTTAAGAGCACTGGCTGCTCTTCCAGGGGTCCTGAGTTCAATTCCCAGCAACAACATGGTGGCTCACAACCATCTGTACTGAGATCTGGCGTCCTCCTCTGGCGTGCGGGCATACATGGAGGCAGAATGTTGTATACATAAGAAATAAATAAACCTTAAAAAAAAAATCCCAGTATGGGCATCAGTGAGAAGTCATGTCCCTAGTGTAGAGTCCTAAACTTACAGACTCGTTCTCATGAGGATCCTTCACTATCAATATATTTAAAATAAGTAGGAGAAGAACAGGTGACATTCTGATGTTCTGCTCCCCGCAAATGCTCAACCATATTCGGTTTCCGGCCTGCTAGAGATGGACCCCACTGCTGCCTCACATATGCGAGGCAAGCATCCCATCAGCTGAGACACGTCCTCAGACTCCTTCAACTAGTTTCCTAAGCACAAAGGGGGCTTTAGAAAAACTAAGTTAAAAATAGAGAAACTCAATTTGTGAGGTTATCAACACAATGCAGTTATATTTTTTCTGTTAAGTTTTGAGTCATTTTCTGAGTATTTTTTCTTGTTTCCAAGAGTAAGATGTATTTTTGTATTTGCCAAACAATGATCTCTCTCTCTCTCTCTCTCTCTCTCTCTCTCTCTCTCTCTCTCTCTCTCTCTGTCATTCCTCTAGTAGATATTGTTATTAACTTATTAAACCATTTCACTATGTAAATAAATACTTTCAACACCAAATCAGAGTGGAATTGTGTGCGGCACCATCTAAACTTATTTTATTATTGGTTCTATTATCACAACTGACAGTTTATATTTCATGTAAACTTTTAGGTTTCTAAATGTCTAATTCAAGTTTAAAGGTGCAGATCAATTCTTTGCAGTTTTTACTTTTATCCAAATACTAGGCGCTCACTCTTTTACAAGATAGCATACAATCAAAGTTATAAAACTTTTGTCCTTTTTTTGCCTTGCAATCCCTTTCTGACATTCCCTACCATGTTTTTCTTTCTTAAATGCAGTCAGTGAAGTGCTTGAAAGAAAATAATTCTATAAATAACTTGGTAACCCTCAACCCTTTCACATGCTGCTAACTTTGGAGAAGTCAGGTCCTCTCCTAAAGGCTTTTATTCTGCCTCATACTCCAAACTCGAACGGTTTTCAAATACTCAACTTGCCTTTATTCTCTTTTTTTGCGGGAGTGGTGGTGGTGAGGGTAAGCCTGCCAGCTGGTGAGAAGCCAAAAGTTGTCCAGTCAGACCTGAATGGAAAAATCTATGATTTGTTTATTTCATAGTTCAAGTTCAAAAGCAAAAGACAATTTAAATAATAAAAGGGTAACAGAGGAAAAATGTAAAGAAAGGAAACAAATCAGTAAGCGTCCAGAGAAACCTTCACGAATATTTAATTTGGAAAATGTTATTGGTTTGGAGGACTTGACTGAAAGAAAACAGCTGGGCAGAGTTCAAGGTTTTAAATTAAAAACAATCTAACAAGGTCTACAGGGATAAATTTTGAGCCATATTTCGGAGACCAGATTCACTTCTACCAAGTAAAAGTAATAGCAGTCTAAGCTAAAGAGGAAATTCCTCACAACTGAGGTGCTTACTAACTATCAGCACAGTTTCCAAGTTCTCAGAAGGCAGCCCAGCGATTTACAGTCTACTTTTCCTCGTATAAGTGGAGCTAGCTATGTTTCCTGTGATTTGCTTAAAAAAAAAAACACTTATCCACACCAGCCAGAATATGCCTATTCTATTAACATCATGCTTTAATAACTGGCTACTTCTACTAAAATTAAGCCTCTGTTTACAACAGCCCCCAATATTTCATTTTGACCATTCATTCTGAAGAATTTGGTGTAAAAAGTTGACTGAAATGTAGACCCTGAGCTATCAAGTAATTATGTTTCAATATAAAAATAGAGCTTTCCTCTTATAACTGAAGATTGAACAATAACACAAAACAACCTGTCTATGGGCTTCTGGCATCTTCATGACTTAGAGAGCAGAAGAACCTTGCACAGTGGTAGTGTTTCTGACAACTTCTGAGAAGTCATTTTGAAATGATCTGCTACTTTCTCCAGGTTTTCTGACCGGTCATTTGGATTCAAGAAAAGGGCTTCCAAGGGGGCAAGGCAGTGGACAAGTCTTTGGCCTGGGACAAGTTAGGGTTTTTGCTAGTGCACCTATGTGGCTAAGGGCCACCTAGGAGATGAGGTCTTCTTAGCTCTATATACTCCCATTCCTCCCACAAAAAGATAGCATACAAAAATCTGGACACCCAGCTCTCCTCTCAGTGGGCTCCTTGGGCAGGATCGAGAGCAGATGGCTGCAAATCAGTCTGGGCCCTTCATTGAACTGATCAAAAGTGAGCGGCGGAGAAAGAAAAAATAATCCAATTAGATCACCTTACACTCTTTTCAAAACTGGAGTTGACAAAATGCAAACATATACACACAGACAAAAACTCTGCTTGAGTGTTGACAGCAATTCCCTGAGCCCAGGCTGTACCCCAGTTCTGGCTAGCTGCCAGACAGCTCCCTTTTATGGCACTCTTCCCAGAGTGGTCAGTGGGTCAGGAATGTGGATCCCTCCAACACGGGGTGGGGACAAATGAGATTGTTGGGCACCTGCTACTGCCATTGGGATAAAGGACTAGTGGCTCCCTAAGCTGCCTGGTTTTTAATATATACCCCCCAAGTCCAAGAGTGTACATGGGATAAGTGGGGCACCCTGAGTGCCTTTCATCTTTCGAGGGCACCTACATCAAGAATTTTTATTTTCCAGGATCGGGTACACTTTGAGTATGGGTGGATTCAAGAATTCAAGATTCCACTCAATCCAAATGGGTCTCTTCCAGCACCCAGTTCTGAGTGGGGTCTAACTGTCTTCTTAGACTGGTGTTTGAACGCAGTTTGACCAGTGGCTCGGAAGCCTGTTTGTGGCTCCACATTCTGTCCTAATGGAATACAAACAGAAAAAAGAAGCCTCCAAGTTGCGTCCACTTCTCCAGACAAGGCAGTTCAAATAAGAGGGATAAATGGAAATCTTACGGCTTGTTGGGCTTTTTCCTTTAATAAGATAACATGATAAATAAACCTGCTTCTGTACAGCTATTTAATATTTCAGAAATACGTACATGTTACATGCCAAGAAAGGAGCCTGGTTTTCTTGGGAGAAACAAGGTGAGATCATAATTCGAAAAGAAAAGCCCCACAAATAAAATGAGCGGAAAAAAAAAAAAAAACAGAACAAGAGTGCTAAATCACAAATGCACAACTAACTACAGTTCTGTACCTACACTGTTAGCCACATTGAACACGATTTCTGAAGGAGCAGAACAAACTTAAAACGCAGGAGTCCCTGCTGTCCCCTCCAACTGAATGAGAAAACAAAGTCAACAACTGCTCAAACCAGTGGCCACATCGTAAAAACTGTACAGCTGCTGTCTGTCCATTCATTTAAAAAGCAAAGTCACTAGGATGGTAAAAAAAAAAAGTGAGAACTGGTGTCTTTTGAACTCTCTGATGGTGAACACTTTTACTCAGGGTTTGACAATTATCTCCACTCTCTCTGCACAGCGAAGAACAAGAGGCAGAGAACAGCGAGGAGGTAGGGCTTTGCCTCGGCATGGGCGCTGGCGCTGTCGGCCTTCTCATTGGCACTCTTCCCAGAATGGTCAGTGGCATTGTACTCAAACTCGGAAGGACACTGCTGATATTCGCAGCCACTTCCGCTTCCTTCTCCGCTACTTTCATCACCTACATTGAAAAGAGAACAGAGATTTCAGGGCACGTCATCTCATCAGGTCAGAAAAGAACAAACCCCACGCATCAAAATCACCAACGCTTACTGGTATCAAAGAAGTCCACGTCGTTGCCGTTGTAAGCATTCTTCATCTTATTGGTCATAACCCGAAGGGCCATGATTTGACGAAGGATCAGTGTGTCTTGTTTGGTGGTGTCGACCTGGACTTCGGGGTTGTTGCCCTGGTTGGCCAATCCATTTCCGGTCACTGCAAACAGGTACCTGAAAGTACGACATGATTCCATTGAAATGACCAGTAAGTAAATGTAGGCGAGCAAAGATTTGCTGAATGTTAGCATCTCCACCCAGCATAGTGGAGTAGACGTTCTTCCATTTGCAATCAACTCGAATTGTTCCTCCTCCCTTTCGGGACTGTGTAGTTTCTGTGATCTGACTGTGACCTCTTTTGGGGCGATTGTTCTGGCAAAGAAAAACACCCTCTGAATGGGCGCTTCTCTCAGTCACAGAGTGTGCCAGGGTGGGATACATGGACTCATCAAAGAGAATGTGACCTTTTGAGAAGTGGTGCTTTTAGAAGGCCAGGACCCTGAGCCAAGGGCTACGGGCGCTGAATGTTTTTAACAGCCCTTAGCACCGGGGTAGAACTACTGCCAAGTCCAGCCCTTTGTAAGTATCTGGGTGCCTTTTAGAACACCCAAATGCCAAAGCCCATGCCTAAGGGCACCTAGAAACTTTCTGTGGCATCACTAGCCACAGTGAGCCGCTTCACTTAGGTCACAGTGAAGAAGCTGCTCTTTCCCTCGGGGGAGGCTGACCTGCTTTTGCCCTTGCCGTTCCAGCAGTCATCCTCGTTGCCATTCCCTGCCGCCATCCTCTCGTCATTGCAAACAGTGGTTGGGAGAGAGGACCAGAACTTCTTAGCCTGTTTCAGTTTTTCCTTGACATCAGTAACCTAAGGAAGAAAATGAAAAACGGCTCACCTATGTACAAATGCAAAACTACAACGTATGATCCCAGCACTCGGTAGGCTGCAAATAACACTCACCCTTGCCTCTGTACACGACCCTGAAGTAAACTCATTGGCGCTCTCTCTCTCTCTCTCACACACACACACACACACACACACACACCATATTAAGTAGAAGGTTGACTATTTTGGAGGAAGACAAGAAAGGGTAATGGAGATAAATAATGATCAAAACATATTATTTACACTTTCTCAACAAACAGTGGGGCTGGAGAGATGGCTCAGTAGTTACAAGCATTTGCTCTTCTTGCAGAGGACAAGGGTTTATTCTTAGTACACACTTGCTAGCTCACAGCTATCTATAACTTCAGTTTCAGAAGATCTGATGCCCTTTTATGAACTGTGCACTTAACCAGGAATCCAAGTGGTACACACACACACACACACACACACACAGATGCAAGCAAAACGTCCATACACATGAAATAAAACAGCAATAAAAAAATCGCAAGAAAATAATGCTGACCTAAATCCATCTTAAAATCTAAGCCAACCCCAACCTATTTATAGATGTGCCTTTTGATCATTTCTAGATTATATGCAACTCAGTGTTTCAAGTTCAGACCGAAGGAAAATACCAAGAAATAAACAGTCACTCAGAGGAATTAATAGTTCAAGTGCAAACTCTAAAGGAGGTGCCTGGATCCTGGATCCACCGTCTACTTTACTTCCTCCTGTAACTGCCATCCCAGCCTGTAACACAGTCTTTCCACCCCAGGCTTTCCTGGTCTGAATCAAGCATCCAGCACACAGGAAAATTTCACTGGCTTCACTCTTCTTTTCACATCAGTGTTCTGTCGGGCTTCCTGCTCTAGGTTTCCTCCTCCTACGGCATCAGTACTCCGATACTGCCATAGGACATTGCCATGTATCCCCTGTCTAGAGCCTAAATTTCTCTCCTATCCTACCATCATCGACTTTGACCTTACATAAGCCTAGACCACGTCACTCTGCCCTCAACCCACTTCTCTTTAAAATCCTATATACTAAAAGGCACCATGGAAGGTTTTTTTTTTAAAAAAAAATTAAAACCCAACGAAGACAAACTGAACCAAGGTTGTTTTGCTGCATGAAGAAATTTACTTTGAAAAGGTGATTAGGAAAGAATAGCCAATGGCAAAGACGTCCTTTCAACCTGAACAAGGACTTCCATAGATATTTCTTTGCTTCCTTATATACAAGGTGGATCATATTTTGGGTATGGTGCTGATAATGTGAAGATGTTTGCAATTGGCATTATTTACCTTATTGGTCAAAAAAAGTAATCCACGCACGGCATTAACAAGTTAAATGTTATCACATGAAATCAACTCGGGATTTTAGGTTGTTTACTTATGAGATTACTTTGGCTCTTACTGAAGAGCTTAGACTGGCGCTTCGCTCCCTTTGTTGAGGTCTCTGGAGTCCGAGGCCCTTTCTTACTGCCCTGAGCTTCCCCTTGTGTATAACCTAGCAGCGGGTATATAATAGATGCTCAGTAAATTCACAATGGCACTGGAGAGAAGTCTGGAGATGCAACTTGTCACAACCCACTTCCTTGACTATATAGGACCTTTCTGAGACAGAAAACAAGGCACATTTACTGCCGTCCACATACAAGAAGATTAAAAAGTTAAACACCTAAAAGACTCACACGTGTATGCCTTCCAACTAAAAGTTCATTTTTTGAGCAAATGTTTGGAGTTCGTTACCATTGAACACACCCATTCCTTCTAAAGTACTCACCAGTCGGTCCAAACTAGTGCCAGCGGCTGTGGTTGGGCGTTGTTCTGGATGATAAGGCCGGAATCGAGCACTGAAGGCACTTTCAGAGATGGACCGAGAAATTCGGCCAGCCGGGAGAGGCTTCGGAGGCCCACAGCCTTGGAAAACCTACAGGGAAAGTGAGTTCATATTAGGGATGTTACATGACAAGGCAGAGGGCGTGTCTCACTGTCCCACCCAGCATCCCGCCTGCAATACCTTCTGAGACACTTGGACACTGTTATCCTGCATGTTCATGATAGCATCAGAAATCTTCACATCTATAGGATCCATAACCGACTCAATGTTGAAGGGGCCCTCCAGCCTCTCTGCCACCATCAGCATAGCGTCTAGTAAGCGTTGGAGAAAGACAATACAGCACAGACAGAAAAATCATTAGTTCAGATTTGACCATCAGCCTTTGCTTTTTTTTTTTTTCAGAGGGAAGAGGGGAAGGGGGAGGGGGAAGGAGATAATACACAGTTTTTTTCTCCAGTTTTTTTCTTATTTTCTAGCTATTTCTATACTTCCAAATTGTATCTACACATTATGTCTCAGCAGCTCGCTAAAGTATGAAGGAGCCAGATGAATGCTTTGTTCCGGGGCAAGGAAATTCAATCGGGAATCGCCCATCTTTTGGCTAACTCCTCCGTATGCCAGCCAGCACCCAGCTGACAGTCTGGCTAGGGACAGAGGAACATGCCTGTTCTCCCAGACACGTCCCTGGCATCTTTTCCTTTCAGGTTCCATTGACGAGAGTTGAAAACGTAAATCAGTTACAATCCTGGCATACCGACTCTTTTCTTTCGCTTCTTTTAAAGAGACATTGCAGATCCTCGCGTGCACAGTTGAATAATAGAAATGAAAGCGTTCTGGGAATCCGAATGTCTTCAAATGATGAAACTTTGAGGCGTGCCACTTTGGGGTTAAGATAACCCCATTTTCAAGCACAAGGGCCTCCGCTGATTTAGTGGTAATATGCATGTTTTGGGGGATACCCGTGAAATCACGAGACAAAACACAGTGCACAAACATTGTCCACTTCACCGATATCTGGAAGTCACTTTTAGACTCTGGAGGACCCTGTCTTTTCCTAGCAAGTGCTGGATTCCTTAAAGAAAGCAAGCTGTTGTTTGTTTCCCATATGTGCTTTTGGGGAATAGGATTTGGTATCTTTGCCTGATAACTTGTACAAAATTAGAAGAACTTCTGGAAATGAACCCCCCCCCCAACGGGGGAAAAGGGGATGGGTTAATTATTGACACATAGTAAACTTTTGAAAAACTATTTTTTTATTGCTGTGTGTATGTGTATGCGCGTTTGTGTCTGTCTGTCTGTGGGAGTGGGTGCCTGTGAAGCCACAGTTGGTTGATACCCTGGAGTTGGTGTTACAAGTGATCGTGAGGCACCTGCCCTGGGTGATGGGAACCAACTTGGGTCCTCTGGAAGCATGATGCCCGCTCTTAGCAGCTGGGTTTTCTCCTTTACACTCCATAAGTTAGATCCCCCACTGTCTACTCCTATAGGTACTTCAATGTCAAGAACGAGAAAAGAGCGTCCCTTTTCAGAAGGCCGGGTGTCTCTTTCAGCTGCTACCCCAGCTGAGCTTCTACCTAGGCTTTCTAGTAGGAAAAGGCTTTAAGCATCATCCTAAAAATGAAATCAAAGTTGGTTATCAACTTTTCACTTTCAACCTAGAACAAGTACTACACACCACTTTAGAAAGTGTGAAGCCGCCAACCAATGAACAGATTCCTGTGCAGTGTGATGCTTCACAGTAATCGCAGTAAGAAAGCACCAATAAAATGATGTCTCTAACCTTTAAGTAAAGGCTGAAAGCATGAATATGCCATTGTACTAGAGGAGAGAGGGCGAAAAATGCTTTTGATGTGCTAGAGAAAGGCGACTTTTGCAAACAAGCGGAGCACAGCGTAAATGTGTTTGTCACTGTCAAAGCAGAGGGACCACCACATACAGAAGGCACATTCCTTCACAAGCCAAGAAATCGTGAGCGCCAAATCAAAATATTATGAATAAATAACAAACTTCTCAACTGCAGAGGTTTCGAAGGGGGGCGGGGTGCATTTTCTACCTATTTATTCCCCTAGTGGTGAGGAAAGGCAGGCCAAATCGATCCCTAATGTGTTTGTGAAAGCCTGAAAGGAAACATAAACCCCAATTCTTCTGGCTGTTTGGCGTCTTTGTAAACTCAGGGCCACTGGCCATACACAAGGGCCTGGGAATGGAGAGGGAACCCAGGCCTTTGTTGGGGCCGGTGCCATGGCGTTGCGTGTCGCATAGCTGAAGAATGCGACCGAGGATCTATTCTGCCTGTGGCTCACAGACCAAAGCCAAAGCTGCCTGGAACCCTGCAGGAAGTCAGGACTGGCTAGCCACCGCCCCTTCGACAGCCGCCACTAGTCCCCCAAAGAAATACCAAAGACGGCTGGTTTGGTATTTTATTTTCCTTGTGGTTGACAGAGGCCACAATTCTCATATGCATGGGAGATCATACTTGTTCCCGCCTCCGCCAGGAACTGGCTGGTGTCCCCGTCAGCAATTCCAATACTAAATTCCCATGGGCAGCAACATGTGACATTAACAGGGTTGGCTCTGAGTCAACTGAATGCTAAGAGAGACACAGCACGTGAAGAATTTATGATTCTCTGAAAACCAGCTTCTTTTGGTAGTAGTGGAAAGGCAGACATTTTTTTTTAAAGGTTGAGTTTCCAAAGGGGTTTCCCATATTTGGACCCAAAGTTAGACCAGTCCTGAGGAAGGCTGACAAGACTTGAGCACTTAGAACTTGTGGTGATAGGCAGATGCCGTTGCGGAAACACGGAGAACCCAGCAACAAGGCTGATTTGGAAAATGCCTGCTCGTTTTGAGAACAGAGTCTCAAGTCTGGTCCAACCACAGGACCAGCTCAACACACTGGTTTTAAGGGGCCCCTCCCAACTCACCCAGAAAAGCATCCCTTTCTTGGGAATCAGCAAGAGTGGGAGGAGACAAGTAAGTGGCGATGAGTCTGATCAAATATATTATATGCATGTATGAAAATAGCATATGAAACCCATTATTATATATAATTAATGTATGCTCATAAAAAAAAACAGTGTTGAAAAAGTATTCCGTTCTCACTAGGGAAAGTGATTACTTTTTCATTGTGTCTCCAATAAATAATCAGAAACCCACATCTTTAGCCTCCCAACCTGACTGAAGAGCTGAAGGCAGTTTCCCAACTTAACCCCAAGATGTGACTTTCAAAGGGATGAAACAAATCTTTGACTACTCAGTAACTGCACAGTCATTTACACAGCAAAGAAAAATTCCAGCGAGAGAGAGAATATGAATATTTACAGCACAGGCATGTAATTGGGACTGAATTCTACAACCATGGAGGAGATTAATTAAACCCTTGTGAAAAATCCATGAAAAAGAACAGGAGTTTAACATGTCTATTACGTCTGGCCTTTTCTATCAGCTTCATTAGAAATAAAGGGTAGTGTCTCCATTAAAAAATGATGCTGACATACAACTGCATATTACGTCACTCCAAGAGCATCATTTAAAATAGCTGCAGAAAAATCAATTCCATAATCCGATCCATTTTCACTTGGGTTTAATTCCGTTTCTTCACAGATAGCACATGTAATTTTAAAAATAGACTATAAGAAGTGCAGCAACAGTTGAAGGCTGAAGATTAATCAGGCCAGCCCGAGTATGGTTTTGATATACTGAGGATCTGGAGGGTCGCAGACAAGATGGGCAGGAATTTGGCCTTTGGTACAAGGCTGTGATTGGGCCTTGGTAGTGGCTGCTGCTGGACAGGCTGCAATAACAGAACGTAAGGTGGAATTGTCCCTGCACTGCCCTCAGGGTGCCTGGGTAGAAAAGGAAGTAAAACTCACTGTCACCCAAAGCTTTTCGTATGGCACACTTGCCCCAGAGAAAAGCCTATTCTGTTCAAAAGCTAGGAAGCCCCACTGTCTTTCTTTAAGAACTAAGGTTAGCTACCTGTGAGACAGTACACCTGCAATTTCACCCATTTGGAGGCAGGGGCTAGGAGGGTGAGTTGGAGGCCAGTCTGGGCTACACGGTAAGAAAGAAGAAAAACGACAACCAACCCAAAACTGCAATTTAAGAAGAAAAAGTAAATGAATCACAAAGTCCACAACTGGCTATGGGGAGGGTATAATTGGGGTAGGGGAGGAAGAGGATGACCTTAGTGAGACAGGGTGATACCATAGTCTTTATTTCCATAGGCCATTTTTCATTGCTCCCCTGGTTTCATTCCGGGCACGCCACACCATTTGTGTTTATGTTTCCCCTTTCATGAGATTCTATTTTTCTGTATGTAAAAGATTTGCTTCCCAAGGTTCCCACAGCTTTGAGCTATCTAGGCCACAATTATGCTTCAGAGTGTAATATTTACATCTTTTTCTCCCAGTCTCTGTGTTTAAGAATTGGTGGGACCCAATTTATTGATGCACTTTCAACCAGACTTAATATGGCAATTCACTCTCGCTCCGTCTAAAATGTATCTTCTTACTCCAATTTCCTCTACTCCAAAAAAAAAAATTTAAACCTTCAACAAACAAAATAAAGCAAAACCGAGCCAGCAAATTACATGCACGCTCCCATGATATGGAAGACTTAGCAAAAGCTTGCTTCCTCTAAAGACATTTCAATGTGCAATTCTGCAAATGTGACTGGGGGGATGAGAATGAACTGGTACTCTCGAAGCATGTATGTACTGTTCCACCAGTGTTGGCCTTCGTGACCTCAATAGCGGCCAGGGAGGTTTCAGGAGTGGCGGGCACAATGAGCACTAATGTAGATGGCTGCAGGCTCTTTAAATCAGGATAATGGTTTTCCCCGAAATCATAACTGGCCTTCTCAGAATCTAGACAGTTTGCAGTGCTGTCTGGGTTATAGTAATGGCTTCCTAATTGGCAGAAATCAACAGACTCAACAGTCCTACTTAGTAAATAATCAGAGAAAGAATCCATCCACTCTCATAAGAGGACTCTACCATGGCTAAGTCCCTACGAAAACAAATTCTGTAATTTTCCACATCAGAGTTCTTCAGATCTGATGGTGAAATGGGCATCTGGTCAGTTTGCCAAAGATTTGGGTGACACGTAAAAGAAAGACTATAGTGTTGGGGGGGAAGGTTGTGTGTAGGGGCAGGGGTTGTGCCAGAGGCTAACATCAGGATCCCTAAGAATGCTACTGTCACCTTAATTTTTATTTTTCGATAAAGGGTCTCTCGCTGGCCTGGAGCACAGAACTTGTGCTCGGCTGATTGTCTCTACCTCCCAAGCCCTAGGATTACCAGTGCTCCACCACACCTAGCTTTTTTTCTGATTGTGGAGATCAAACATAGGCCCTTGTTCTAGCAAAACAAGCACTTTACCAATGGACCACCTGCCCAGCCCAAGAGAGAATCTTCAAAGCTCCTTTCATAGCTCTGTGAAGACTGTACATCAGAGTGAACATGAACAGACCTAGGATGAGTGCGAAACCTGAGAATTTCACAGGGAATATCAAAAAGATGCCTCCCGCTGCATTCAAAGCCGGTGCATCTAACTGTCTTCTGCAATGCCACCATGAGTTCAAGAGGACACTGACTGGCAGTGCTGATTTTACTATCTCAAAGTACTGAGCGCAGCACAGCCAGAACTCTGCCAAACATTTCCCATTAAAACGAAAGGAAAAATCTCAGAGCTGGCAATTACAACAGTGCTTGTGGCAAGAAGCGGAGTCATCGCTAGTAAAACAAATACATCAATGGCTCGCTCACCTATGAAATTGTTCCACTCAAAATCGAGTTCTCCTTGGTTGGCCAAACAGCCTCTCATGATGTTAGAGCAGTAGTTGTAACAGGGCTTCACAGACACCAAGCCCCGGCAGTGAGAACAGTAGATCATCTTCAGCAGCGCTTCCGTGCACTGGGCTGTGGGGTTCACCTAATGTGTGACAAGACAAAAAAAAAAAGCCACAGTTGGGTTAAAGGAGACACAACTGACATTGGAGGATCATCCGGGAACTTCGGGATGAGTTAAGAGTGTTCTCAATTAGGAGGCTGGACTCCAGTAGAAGTGGATTAGAGTAAGAATTAGACAAGTGGAAGACAGGTGCCGGAAAGCTGAGTTAGGGGTGGGGTGAGTGAGGTCAATGTAAGTTCTGGTCTTTCTTCCTTTAGCGCTGCTGATGGTAGAACTCAAGACCTTGCTGCAATCCCTGCTTTTCAGTACGAGACTGAGACATAGGTCCAACTTGTATTCAAATACTGAGTTCAAGACTGCCCTTTGCACGTTAGCCTCCAAGTATCTTTCCCAAGGATACTTCATATATACTTTGTTCAACATCGAAAAGCCATTCAGAAGGTGAAGATCATGGATTCTATAGGGCAAGATGAGTAACTTTAAACTCTGCAGAGTTTCAAGTGTGGCGTGCTCTTGTGACATATAATCAAAGTGATGAGGCTTCTGCTAAGTTATGAGAAAGTTATTGGATTTCAGTGGAGAAGTAAATGAAGATCATCTCAGGGACGCCAATGGAATGGTGCGCCTGTATTTTCTTAGAAGAAGGTGGAGGAATCTAGGACAGTGATGTGGCATAGGAGTGTGTGTATGTGGCCAGAATTTAGAAGGGCTGGACACTGAGCAGAAACCGGGAGACCCTATAGGAGTCAAACAGCAAAGATAAAATCACTACTCAAATCAGACTAGGCTAGCCACCCTCTAAGAGTAACAGCATTTACTGTCATCTTTCTGGTTGGGTCGGATGAAACTGTTTAGGGCCATGAAAGAGCCAATTCCACCCCATTCTTCATTTCCATCAATGGTAAGAAAGGAGCCCAGCTAGGTGTCATATGCTGGCAGCTAACTCCAAGTTCCTGGCTTACTCTCTCTGCCCTCTTCTCCTCTTTTGTAGCCTTAATCAGAGGATTGGTGCATTCTTCACTCTCATCAGCAACTAGTTCCTCAAGCATAGGCTTTTAGAAGCGGATACTACAGCAGGGAGCAAATACTGGGATGCAGGGCGGCTGGCAATGGATGTCACCTGCTCTGGTGTGTTGCTTTGGATATCACTTGTCAACAGTGCCCTTAGGAACAGGAACAGGATGGTGCTGTCTATCTGGTGCATGTGGGTACACACACACACACACACACACCCTTCTCTGGCTTATTCCCAACAGAATGCCAGCGTAAAAGGGGAAAGCGTGCAACAACAAGATGGTAATTGTATACACTAAAGTCAACATTCTCTACAAAGAGTTAGGACTTTTCCACAGTTTTAACCATTCCCAAATGTTTTCCTAAGCATTAAATTAGTCTCTTTAACTGTGTATTAATGTACAGTAAAGTTCTGGCTAACCAATATCCTTAAGGAATGGCCTCTCTGGATAACTAGATTTTCTGGATAGCTAAAAGTTCATTCCTTTGGAGTCACACATTGTTGGGACTCTGATACTCATTCACCTCTCGTTTTACAGATGAACAAGCAGGCCTCAAGGAGGAAGGGAGCCCAAGTCATAGGATCAAAGAAGTCAGCACTGGAAGGGGCCTAGCCCAACACCAGCGATGCGGCTCTCACATTGTAGAGATAAGCAAACTGTAGGCAGAGATTAAACAACCTGCTGACAGCCACCTTGCCGCATTTGATTCCAGTACTGCACCTTATCAGACACCGTGTCCCTAGGATTTCCCAGATGTGTCACCGCTTCCTGTCATCCTAAACAGAAGATAGGCAATTCTATTCTTAGGCCGAGCCGATTTTCTTCTTTGTTTTTAGTTCCAGTCCACATTAGAGAGAGGCTGCTAAATGGCCAGATCGTAGGAGACACACAGGTTATGTAAATGACTTATAAAAAAAACCACAATACAGCTAGATGTGTTAGAGCACGCCTCAAATCGCAGAGGTAGGACACTGAGGCAGAAGGACAGCAAGTAAGTCAGCCCGGAGAAAAGGGTGAGGCCCTGCTAATGAGACAGGAGAATGGAAAGAAGGCGGAGAGGAGAGAGAGGCAGGCGGAGGGGGAAGGAAAGGAGAATTCCAGAATAGTACTTGGTATGTTGAACACTATTCTTCAGAGCTAGCGGTGTCCTGGTGGAGTAAGCGTAGAAAGCTAAACTGTCAATGTGGATACTCAGCTTTTAACATGTGTCTGGGATCATGACGTTAGTTTGCTGTATTAGAATATGAAACCTGCTCTACAGAACACAAAGGAAAATCCCAAGGTAGAACAGACCTTTAGGAAGTAAACAAAATATTCAGGTAAAGATCAGTAGATTCAAAGAGCATTTCCCAAAGCACTTGTTCTATTATTTACTTTCATGACGTGGGGAAGTTAACTCTAGGAAACACCATATTACAGTTACATGGCAAGTTCAGCTGCATGTCAAATCATTAATGCAGGGGACCTTGTGATGCCCTCCCCTAAATGAGTCTGATGTAGTCTCCAGTTTAAAATCAGAGAGCAAGCCAGGCGGTGGTGGCGCGCACCTTTAATCCCAGTACTCAGGAGGCAGAGGCAGGCAGATCTCTGTGAGTTCGAGACCAGCCTGGTCTACAGAGCTAGTTCCAGGACAGGCTCCAAAGCTACAGAGAAACCCTGTCTCGAAAAAAAAAAAAAAATCAGACAG